TAGAAATACATTTATTTAGCACCAAATTACAAGTGCATAAGGATATACTAATAGATCATCTAAAATCAGGTACTAAAACGGTCTCCGCTCAGCAATATGACGCAGTGCAGCTGCAGCGATGATTTTCAGCGGATACTTTAAGTAAATAAATAAACAAACTAAATAATATAAAATATGGAGGAGCACGAATAGCACTATTACGATTACATGCAATTTACAAAACACATTTATAAAGTTATTAATTTATTAAAGATTATTAAAGATCTTTAATGAATTTATAATATTATTGAAGATTATAAAACTAACAATAATAATTCGCAAATACAACATCAATATTAGTCGTAACTATCAATACGTACACAGCTATTTTAATGTAAAAATAACTTTAAAGAATGATTATTAAATAACCCTTAAATTTGGTCTTAAAAGTTACAATAATTTCAGTATTTCTAATACAGGGAGGAATATTGTTCCAGCATTTAGTTGCAGAATAGTTGAAACTGCCACGCAGAGCAGCTATTTTATATTTCGGGCAAATGAAAGCTGTTCAAAATGTATGGCTAGAAAATTGAAACCTGTCATACAAATATGAAGGGTTCTGAGTCTTAATGACACTGAAAAGCAAGATCGTAAAATGCAGTTTACGTCTTGACTCCATATTTAAGCAAAGTAACGCGGCTAACAACCTACTTATGAACGCGGCTATTCTAAACAAGTATAAAATGTAAATGTATACAAATTAGAAATTTAATCCCAGCTGTACAAATTGCAAAAACTGGAGACATCAGACATGTCATAGCCAATATATCTAATAAGAAATTTACTACAAATTATCATCTATATATGAAATTATAACAGTGCGTAGATTCACGAAAAAAGTCGGTCAGGATAGTCCTTTGCAAACTGTTAGCGTCTCAATTTGTATTGGCAAACCAAACAACACTGCAGGCTCTGCTCTGGCAAACGTTTTTATAAAGAATGCGATAAGCCTTAAACTTTGTTGTGTTAATTATAGTGGATCACACTTAGCAATATCTAATTTATGTCCTATTAAAATGAAAAAGAACCGTAATAAAATAATAAAGTTACTTACGCCACTACTCTTTCCACCTCAAAAGAAAAAAGTTATAACGAGAATTTTCCAGCTCAAATAAAATTCAAAATGTAAAATCTATCCCACAAAACAAGGTTTTGTTAGATGAACTTATGAATCAATTAATTAATAATACTGGAATCACAAATGCCACAGTTCGAATACTTATTTCAATTAAAGAAATGTTAAATAAAATTTAACTTAATTATTACTTACCCAAATGATATATCCACGTTTAACATAGCCCAATATAGACATCTGTCTCTTAAATGTAACTTGGTCGAAAGAAAGAAGACCTTGTAACATATCTGGTAATAAAATTTATTATAAAAATGCTTCAAACGAGTACGGTGGTGTAGCTAACTTAATAAAACCATTCTTTAAATATAAACTTTTACCCACAATATTCTATGAAGACATTCAAACTATTACTTTGTAATTATCTATTTCTGGCGATCTTAGTATTTTTTTTATGTCTACGATTCTCCTTCGTCACATTTTAGACCTGACTATTAACATGATATTAAACAAAGTCTACCTTCGCCCGTTTTTATGTCGGGAGATTTTAATTGCTCATTACCTCGCTATTGGTTGCTTATCAACTAAAAAACGAGGAGAGCAATTATAAGTCATCTAATATCTATTTAAGATGATTTAGATTGATGTTTCCTTAATTATGAAAATTTCACCACTATTAACTACCCTAATCGAAATCCATCTACTATAGATATTAGTTTAACTCATCCATACATTACTCCTTTATGTAATTGGCCAGTTTATGACGATAATATGGGCAGCTATCATTTCCCTACAATTACAAGGATTACGGCTGTGATGAATAAATATTTAGTTTTAATCTCCCCACTGACAAATTTATTTATAGTAAAGCCGATTGGAACAACTAAAAAAAACGAGGGAAAAAAGGAATAGTTAGAGAAATTTGTATCACAACTTTAGAACAACCCTATTTCAACTATTTAGAATTATATTAAAAGATTTAAACGGATTAAAATAAGTAACAAAGATTATTGTGATGTGTATATTGAATAATTTTTACAAAAAAATCTCAGATAGCAAAGAAAGTACAGAAAACTTGAATTATTATTTCGATTATCACAATGATGATGAAGGAACTAAACATTTATAAGACTCCTTTTCGTGGTACGGATTTTTAATGAGTCTTCGATCACGTAGAAGTACTTCACATTTGACGACATTCCCTATATTTTAATAAAAAACCTCCACATTAATGTACAAAAATTATGTTTATTTGTACTTATTACACTCTATAAATAAATAATGATATCACAGTTATGCAAAATACAACGTGTTGTTGTTGTACTCAAACTTAATTCATACAGTGATAATCCTAATTGATTCAGACCTATTTCACTTTCATCTTGCTTAAGGAAATATTAGAAAATATGGTTAAAGTTCGTTTAGAGTTAGACTATTTTATAGAGTCAAATAATATAATTCAGCATGGCTTCAGACGAGGTACGAATCGTCTGGCTTTACTTCCCTTATTTCTGATCTGAAAAATGCAAAAAAATCATAAAAGTGATGCATGTGCTTTCCTTGATGTTCAAGGAGTTTTTGATAAAGTTTATCCAGAACTTCTTACTAAAATATTAACAATGTTAGGTATTCCAGGAATATTATGCATGTGTATATTTGAATTCATAAACAATAGAACTGTTAAACTGTTGAATTTATAAATAATAGAACTGTTTGTAAAACATTATAATATTCTAAGAGGTCTTAGAATTACTAAAAAAGGTATTATGCAAGGTGCAACATTTGAAAAACTTAAAAAACTGATAAAATCGAAGACAGTGCGAATAAAGTTTTGGCTGAAAGAGGCTTTGTATCCAAACTAAGAATATTAAAAAAAGTCTTAATTCATAATTCAAATCTTGAGAGAACCCGACGTTCTATTTTTTGGTTGAAATAGAACTCTAAATCTCGCGGTAAATCTCGACGAATCAGGTAAAACGGTAGTTTCTTACTTACTCTATGGATTCAGCAGAATTCATGTATTAAATTAAATGGTGAGATCACGCCTCCGGGAAATACTCTTAATTGCGGCATTTCTCCTCGGTGTGAACCCTTTATCAAGAAATATATTAGTCCATTTTTTGAGCGTTCACAGAAACGACGGAACAGCTCAGTAAATTGTAACAAGTTGCCACTATATTTCAAATATTTCGATAATAGCATGCTTAAGGTTCACATACCTTTATTTTCATATAGTGGTAGTATACATATAGGAGATGTGATGTTATTGGTGATAAGCATATTATTATATTCAAACACTACCAAATACATGAGATTATTTTCTAAATTTTGCTCAAGGGCTTAATTGGGAACATATGTAAATTTGACAACTTCATACTAAAATAACAAATAAGATGCCCAGAAAAGCAATACTTTTATTCAAGTTCAAATCGTATCGAATTTCAAATTTTATGATCTAAGGACATATCATAAAAACATTAACTAATTTATAAAGGGGTAAATCTTCTAACTTTGTTTGTTTGTAGGGAATTTCTGTAAATACTGATATGATAAGAAAGAATCTTTCATTTTATGCGAAGCTACATCAAACGCAGGTAACATCGAAGCGAAGTTGCTAGAAAATTGTTCTGTCTCGCATGGAGCGAGCAGTCCTTTTGTTACCCATTGTTACCTCTTTTGTTTTAAGGTTCAAAACACGTGCATATAATCTATAAATATTTGTAGCTGGCATGCTGCATGGCTCATAATTTCTCTAGAAATTGCCTATCCAATAGGTACTCAAAATTGCACCTCAAACTTTTGCGTGAGCTATAAGTATAATAAAAACAGATAACACAGGCGGAGACCAACTTTAATTTATTGTATTTATTAATAGTAAACAAAGTGCATTCGAACGTAACGGAAGCAACAATTATTTGCATTTTACATCTTAATTACACCGAGCACTCTTCAAATTAATATGACCTATTACATGATTAATAAATAATAATCTTGTTACATGCTTTTTAATGGATTATTTCGTTTCAGTAATGTGAAAATAAATAAAAAGGTAGCATTTCAAAGTAAAAGATAATACTGATAGTCAAAAAAGAACACTGTTTATTCTTTTTTTTCTCATAAAACAAATTTGTGCGTTAAGTTGAAATAATGACATAATAAAACTCATTTAAAATTATTGTTATTAAAAAGACATTTACAAATCATTTCGCAGTTCTGTTCGAATAAACACAACAATGGTAGCTTTGTTTAAAAATACAATGATACCGACAGGACCTACCTCATAAGGGATAATGTCTCAGAATTACTAGGAGGTTCCCACGACTGTCCATTTGAGACAGAATATTTTAATTTCCTCTATTTGATGAAGGAAAACTATGGGTAGGGCTTACGTCTTATATGGAAAAATATACATCTGCGAAGAACCGCAAGCGTGTAATGTTCATGTTGCGGAATAAGAATCTATATTCAGAGACAACGAAATTAATTTCGACCATATCCCGAAACGGCAGCCACGCAATTAAATGTGACATTGAGCAGTCGCGTGAGAACACCAACACAAACAACGACCCAGCATTAATTAACCAACAATATTTTAGAAACAATCGCATGATTAAATCTCCAGACAATGGTAACATTTCAACCGAATATGACCTTACGATTTGTAACATATTCGGTGTCATCAAAACGGTTGTAACCTAACATATCCACATGCCGAAGTATTTACAAAACGACTCGGACAATTAAACAATTGGGAGCCCAGAGTGGATAAGTGGATGTTAAGAAAAAAAGATTTTCCGTTTCAGATAATGAAATGACAACAATGGAGTGATTTGCGCAAGACGTTCGCACGGCGGAGGAGTGAGTGGGGCGTATTTTATATAGGTGGGTGATGTTTGGCGGCGCAGCCGTAGCGCCGACATGCCGCTGCGGCTGCCCTAGCGAGATGATCCTCCTCGTACTGTTCGCGTGCCTCGTTACCGTCTCCGCCCAAAACGCCACCGAAGATGCCACCGTTGACATAGAACCAAGGACCAACTCCACCAAAGAGATTTTAAAAGCAAGTGAAACTGCTGACCCTGCTAAAGTAGGAATCGTGAAGCAAATACGACGACTGAACGATGATGGCTCCTATACAATCGGCTACGAAGCTGACGATGGTACATTCAAAATTGAAAGTCGGGATGTATTGGGAAATGTGAAGGGCACTTTCGGATACGTTGACAAGGATGGAGAAATAAAACGTGTAACTTATTCGTCTTCAAGTGATATGACTCCGGCTCCCGTACCAGTGACCACAAGTACCACTCCTAGTAGTCCCACTTTAATAGTAAGAATGAATAAAACAGTGTCATCAACTACTAGGAGGCCTTTAGGTACAATAGTGTATCCTACAAGAAGCAGTTTTACAACTAGGGGAACAGTAATACAAAATATACCTAGAAGACGTCCAATACCGAGTTCTACGAAAGCGACTACTAATGTCGCTGAAACAACAACAGAAAAACAAACCGTTGAAGAAACAACTAGTAACATCCTCAATCTTTACAAGCCGAAATCAGAAGAAAGTGTAAAATCTCGTACTCAAATGTTAAAACCAGTTGCAGTGACAGTGAATGATGATTTGATAACGAAATCGACGACAACAAAGTTACCTCAAACTGTTAAGCCGGTTTATGAACACATGAAGGATGAAACTGATTCTAATAAGGCTAACACTTTCCGAAGGGAATTAACGGGAACAAGTCCCAACCCCCACATGGTGAGTTTACAGCAATCAGCTGGTGACGATTCCACTGATGTATACGGAAGTCATTTATCTTTAGGAACAGTGCGACCTTTGTTTACTACCACAACTCCCCGACCGAGACTCGTACCTATACACTCTTTAGTAGCTGCGAGACAAAAAATAGAACAGCAATACCAAGATGTTGCTGTGCAAGAGCAAGAAACGACAGTGGAAGCCAGTACTGGACGTGTTTTTGACCATGAAAATGTTGTGACGTCAAACCCTGTTCCGGTTATTCATATACCGCCCGAAAGGTTTGACGAGAGACTGTATCAACAACCTATTTACAGGAGACCTCCAGCTGCAGTTCAGTTTAGAACAAATGAGTACTTGAAAGATAATCCTGGTTCTCCTATCCCTATAGGTAACCAGCGGCCCTTTCTCCACTATGAATATCAGAATAAAGTATTGGACCCACATTACGTAAAGGAAACTTCACCACCTCCACCTCCTCAAACTAAAGGAACAACACCTGAACCTGTCACCGTGGCATATGACGCAAGACCCGTAACGAGGATAATACCGATACCAGTTGACGAAAGGGGAGTGCCTATACACGGATATCAAGCCCGATTCATTAACCCCTACAGGCCAACTCCGCCTCCACCAATGGTGTACCAACAAAGATACGATCAGGGAGACGAGATGAACTCTATCTCAGCTCCAGTAAGTACTAGAGACTTGAAACGTCTGCTTCATATTCTGATTTTAAGGCAGAATCGCCTGCAGGCTTTGATGGATCAACTGGTAGCTCCGGGGCCTCCTTACCAGCCAGTGCAACTTTTTAGGCAACAACCTCAGTATTACAATAGATACGATAGCGCACCTCGTCATTATCAGGACGAGGACCGTTACGACTACCACTATGAACAGCAACAATATAGACAGCAAGATGCGTATTCAAATCAAATGTCGAATTACGAGAATCCTCAATATGAGAGCCAACGGTATGTGCCAAGGCGTAGGTTGTATAGCAGACCTTATGATACAGCCAGTTCATCATCTAATCGTATCGAAGAACCACCAGAATACCTCCCGGCGGATATTCGGGAAGCGTTGCTGCTGAAGATGTTAATGTTGGCCATCAACCCAGATTTCATGCCTACTCCGCTGCCACCCACTGAACTAACCACAGCTGCTCCTCCCAGGAAACAAGTGAGGAACGTCCAGATTCTCGGAGAAGAAGGTTCAGTAGATGAAGCAAAGAAGGCGTCTATGCAAACGCACTGAGGTATTTCCATCCATTATTATTATACAGTGATAGTATACCAATAGAATACTCACCTAACGTGTACATATTTTTTAGTAAAGTGGTTTAATTTTAACAATATAGTTGTTTCATTTCGTTTGTTTGTACATCCAATGTAAGGTAAAAACCTTAATTATGCCTCAAGCATGATTTAAAAGCATGTCCAAATATATTGATGCAGTCTATAAAGTCTTTAGAGAAAAGAATTTTGAAATAGTGAAAATTCAACATAATATCATTTATCACCGCTATGATAATAATATGCCTTTAAAAAATGTAAACCGTAACATCCTACAATTCGAAAAATGACAAAATAATTCCGTTCCCTACTTAATGCAGACCTAGCGCGCTAACCACTGACCTATAGGGCACCACAATAACGAAAATTGGTATAGCTTAATTGACATGCCTCTTTCAATAGATAAGTACATGTATGCGACAACACGAAAATGCCTATGATATAATCTGTAAGAGACAATAGTATAATTTATAGTTATACTTCATATGCCAAGGACCGTGAAACTGGTAATGTCAACAATGGTCGGCCTTCACGGCTGTGAATGTTTGGCAACGTACTCGTATTTACGGGGTGAGTAAAAATGGCCTAATTTACAAACCCAACTGTTGTGACGAATATAAAATAGCTGGTTACACAACACTAATAGTTTACATCTTAGTTGAGTCCAATATAGTTAATGTTCTCTAATAAACATAAAAAACATGACCCCGATAGAGTTTGAGAGCACATTGTTAGCTAAATTATTAAGTTAATAGGTAGATATTTAATAAAATACACTAAAGTTACGGTTTAGGAGTAATTGTTGTTGTTACGATGCATGATTTTTTACGTCTATTTGAGACTACTTGAATATGACTGAGTAGCTCGGTGGCGTAGTGGATAAGCGCCGCGGCCAGTGATCGTAATCGTTAAGCAACTTTCGCAAGGGTCGGTCACGGGATGGGTGACCAAAAAATTTTTATCTCGAGCTACTCCGTGCTTCGGAAAGCACGTTAAGCCGTTGGTCCCGGCTGCATTTGCAGTCGTTAATACCCTCCAATCCGCATTGGGCCAGCTTGGAGGGTCATGGCCCATCCTCCTTAACCATCCATAAGGAAGGCCTGAGCCCCTGCAGTGGGGACGTAAAAGGGCTGGTGAGGAATATGCATCATACCTTTGCAATGACTTGGCGGATAACACATAGCTATAGCTAACCAAGACTATTCTTTTCTTTTGAGAATATGTTGAAAGTATATACCTCATATAACATTTTTATTTTTTTATTTGCCCTGAGAACCGATTCTTACCGACAGTGGTATCTATCGTTTATCTGAATTGAATTGCGTTTGGTCACTATTACTGAAGATAGGTTTTGACATTGCAATTTCTGAAGCCCCAACTAACTAACATTTTGTTAAAGAAAACTTATAAAAACAATACTAAACAAATAAGGAAGTACAAATTTACGCTGTTTATAACGTACTGCAGAGAATATTATCAATATAACTTTTGTCTCTCCAAATTAATGTTAATGTTTGAATTAATCTCTAAATAAATTCCCAAATCAAATCACGGAAGTAAAAATAAAACAATAACTTAGGAACGAATCTTAAAAATCCCCAGAGAATATTATTACAATAGTAATCAACTAACAAGGCTATTAGAAACAAAAAGTGATTACCCGCTAATGTTCCGGCTAAATTAAATAAAACTGTTTATAGATCGTTGACTGGTCGACACAAAAATAACGTTATATCGCAAAAAAATAGTATAAATAGTGTGAACTTAAATTATCTCTAACTCTCTAGTAAGAAAATAAATAAACACAATATTTCAAAGTTTTTAAATATAATAAACTTACCACAGAACTTTGGAAATAGCAAATTCTTTACAAATCAGTAAAATGCTTTGCAATAATAGCGGAAACTAGAAATTTTTGAGGTATCGAATAACCACCAAATATTTCACTCTTTATCAACAATTATGAAAAATAATCTATCAATTGTACACCTTAATTATGCATATGAGTGGGCCAGATTCAGCAGAGATTTGCCACTTTCGGAGATTCTGGAAAGTTTAAAACTGATTTTTTTGCAACCTAAATGAGATGTTTGGTTTATAGATTGAAAAATTCTTTTTAAAGGAAGACGGTGTTGCATTCAGAGTTAACTAGAAATAAAGCGCTGTGTTCAAAAAATATTTGTGAACACTCAGATTTTAACATTCGTTCAATAAAAAACAACGCTACCGTATATTAAATTTACAAGAAGGTATTTATATCACCCGTACCATCTGTAGACAATATTAAGGTCACCATTGCTTATCTTTTCTTATTTCTATATAACGTTCGGTTGCGCAATGTTCTGGGAAATGTAGCACATATTGTTTGTTCCCATGTGGTATTGTATAGACAGGAGGGTGTCCCACGGCCCCTGTTTGTTATAACATGCAACAATACTAGTGCTTTATTAAAGTGTGTTGCGTCATAGTTGCGCTGCAAATTGATATCAACGACATTACAGCACGTGCCAAGTACGTGGCGAACGCATAAGAAAATTCTGAACAGTCGGTAGGAAGATAGAAATTGAATAAGTTAAATATAAAACTCTGAAGAAAGATAAGTGTCTTAGTCTGAGTGAACACGACCGTAATCTTAAAGGATGCGAAACTTTTAAAATGAATTCTATTATGCACGTTACATCCGTTCAATAGTATTTTTATTTAATGAGTAATGCGCGTTAAATTAAAAGGAATCATTATCTACTGGCAGATTCTACTGATCGGTACTACTTGGTTAAAAATCCATGTCTACATCGTCAGCCTGTTATTCTCGCCGTTGGCTCACTCCTTCCTTAGGGACAGTGTAGAAATTTACGAACAGTATGCATCGGTGGGTGTTACATAATACAGTTATGTCTTGACTTTAATGAACCAAACAAATAAACTTCATTAATAATTAGTTTTTTCACCCTTTATCTACAAATATTTATTTATTCTCCGCATAGAATTGTTGGACCGTTCTAAGCATTTGTACTCTAAGAACTCCCCGTCTGCAATGAGATTTTTGTTTAGACAAGCTTTAATACCACTTGTTTCTTTTTAGTTACATTTTTGCAGGAGTGTATTTTGAGTTTTCAAATTATTTTTATTTTATTCCTTTTACGGGCTGTGGCACAAACATCCATTAAGGTTTAATGATGCATTTAAGCTCTAATGAATCTAATGATTTCGTTAACTTGATACATGTAACGTTTCTAATGATAACACATAAATTCATACCCATGTGGTCTTTTACAAATATTGGTGGAAAAAAATAAACTTACAAACATGAATTAACCTTAAACACTATACTCTTTTTGAACATTAGTTTTTATTTCTTTTTGTGGTTAAATCTTAGCACACCATTGCGGAATTTTTGTAGTTAATTTTAAGGCCTACAACTTTAGAAAACTTTTATATACTCTTACCGTTGAGACACGTGTTCGCAAAAATACCCGTCTTTAGCAGCATCTCTGTCCTCAGCTAACCGTTTAGTAAAATAAAAAATAGCTAACCCTGACTTCGTTATTTAATTACCTACGTACCAAATTTCAGAACTTTGTACTCAGTATCCAATCTTTGCGTGCAGAAATAACAAACATCGAAAAAAGGAAGTATCCAAATCTTCTTTCATTTTAATAATTGTTGAGGCACGAACCTCTTTAGTGGTACCGCGGTCAGGCATTCTCATCTAGATTTTAAGTTTTTTCTCGGTGTCTGCGATCTTCTTTTGTCTTTTTTATTCTTGTGCTTTCTCATCAAACATTGAATTGTATTATCATAATTATTTAAGTTTCGCAGTAAAAAGTACATTAAATAACCAATAAGAACCTAAACTAACCTAATACGATTTTCATTTACGCCGCTTTTAAAGAAAGGAATTCTTTCAATACAATAATATTAGTTACCGAGTGGAGCTATAATAGAGATAAAATTTTATCAAATTATTACAGTATTTTTTGTTAAAAATTAAAGAAATCTACAGGGACTCACAATAACCGACCTGTGACATGCATTATATATACTAATATTACTTATAAACGTTTGCATGAAGTTATTCTTTAGTTTTGAGCTTATAGCGATGAAAACAAGTATTTGAATTAATAGTTTAAATTTAACATTCCCTTTTTCAACTACAAATTTTTGGCCAGGGAAGGTACAACATACTCATAATAGGTTAGGGAAAAAGATTCTTTTCATTTTAAATGAATATTTTTTTTAAAAGTTTATTTACATTTAACTAAAGCATATAGGTGGCATTTTGATCGATAACTATCTGCTATCTTGTGGGTAGGGACATGATCCCATTGCTATAGAAAGGACAATGTCCAAATTAGCCTATGAACCTCTAAGAATATCTTGTATATCATAATTCTTATCATATTTTATGATTAATATATCAGCTTTTAAAATCAAACGGACACTGCCCATTTTTGTAATTACTTTAAAAAGTAATATCAATACATTTGATAAACTTCAATAAACGCTGCCACCATATTTTAATAAGTTGACAAATCAGAATTTTTCCCCATTTTGATATATAATCAACCAATGAACACTTAAAGCGCTTGACATTAAAACGAGACTCAAAATGTTCGTAGATTTTTAAGCGGCTGGAAGCGCTCTTTTACATACGTTTGACAATTTTGAACTTTTGAAGTTTTGTTTGACAATCGCTTTCATACTCGCGTTGTGTTTATGTCGCTTGAGTTGGTTTGTACCATTTCTTGTGTCTTGTGAATATTAGTTATAAAATAACGACTTGGCATGAACTAAGGACTGATTTCGTCTTATAATATCGACCTCCGGCAGTGATTTACGGCATAGCGACCTACTATAGACGACGACTTGGCATTTATTTAACGGACATTAACATGGAATCTGGGTGTTTGAAGTATTTTGTGTTAATTGCGGTTCAGCTTCTGGTTGCATGGTATTAGAAGATGAGCAGATCCTTCAGTGTATACAACACTGGGTTGCTCCAAGATCGGTAAGTACATGCTCCCGATACAGAACCTACAGAACCTTTTAAAGCAAACAACAACAATCAACATTTAAAGCAAAGTAGACATACATTTCCCTACAAAAAGCAAGTAGAACAAACATTAAAAAGAATCTAACCGCACGCTACAATTGTTAAAATTATAACCTCAAATCCAAAATATATTTTTTGATTTATACATTTCTTAGAAGTGTCCGTTACTTAAACATGTATTTAGACGTAAATATAGATACTTTAGAACACGAAAAATGATAGTACATGCTTAGAGGTTCTTAGGCGAAAAATGTATGGGGGCTGGACATTGTCCTTTGGGGCTTCTAATTAAAAAACCGCTGCAAGTGGTTATGTCAATCCTGCGTGATGTTATCCTGACACTAGCTAAAAGATTCTGAAGAGACCGAAACAGGTGGAAATCTGAAGGTCAGGGCTATGCGGAAGATGCATTAACACCTCCCAGCCAAACTCTTTTAATTTCTGCTGAGTGGCAAAAGATGTGTAAGGGTTAGCGTTATCATGACAGAAAGTGGCCAGAATCAATCAATAAAAGGGGTGAAACCGCACCCCGATTAAATCATCAGTTGGTCGCAGTTAAGTTCAGAATCGATGGTTCTGCCTGGCGCTAACAGCTCATAATAAATAATGCTATTCCAATTCCACCATACACACAGCATCACTTTATTGCGAGTAAACCCGGGTTTTGTCACAGTCTGTGAAACCTGACTTACCTTTGACAACTAGCTTTTTCGCACGTTCATTTCGTACGTGATCCACTTTTCATCAGTTTCTGTAAAGATGGTTCAGGTTAATTACGGCGTAATAAAGAATCACAAATGAGTTCTGGATGGAACTCATTTCATCTTTATCCGTAACAGGGCGACCGGAGGGAGGGACGTGCATCTTTGACGTCAAAATTTCCTTACTGAAAAAACTTAAACCAAATTTGTGCTACTCTCACAGAAACTGCACTAGGGGCATGAACATTGGTTTCGCGGCTTGCGTTGCATTTTTAGATTATTTCATTCATTTTGACAGTAAGTAAAACAAATGAAAGTCACATATTTTCCTGATTTGAATTCAGATTTATCTTCTTTGGTTTGAATCAAAGTCAAGTGCAAACATATAAACATATTCTTAATTTAGACATACATATATAATTTAGATCAGCTTTGCTAATAGTTATATCATTTACTTCAAAGAATTTAACTTAATCTTTCAAATCTAAAAAAAAAAAAAAATTCGCTACTATCGTGCTATCAAGCTGTAGGTATTCAAAAGAATAAGGCTTACTATAAATAAAACTATTTATTTATTATAAAAAGGTATTTACTACGTATTTACAAAAATGAGATTATCGCTTAAACTAATAGGATCCGAAGGTGATGTCGTGGAGAGGTGCCGCGCCACCTTGCGGTAGAGCAAACTCTTTTAGAAGCTGATCTAACATGGAGAAGGACTGACTCCTCTGGTTTTGATTGAATCTAGGCTGGGGTGCCGGGGCGAAGTCCTGGGAGTATTCTATCTGTGGTTTTTGGAATTGTGGTGCAGGTCTGAAATCTTGGTTGAACTGCCGCTGCTGGGGTGCTGGATTGAAGAAATTGGAGCGGTCATCTTCAACAGGGGCGGGCGCCGCGCCAGCAAAGAAAGATGGCTGTAAGAAAGATTAGAACTGCATTCGCTATCATCTCCTAGCTAAACCGGTAGTGAGGGTCGAGCGCTAGAAGGCATAGTCTTTTGCTTCCTTTATATTGAGCAAAGTTAATTTCGATCCTTCTTATTATAGTACAAGAACTAAGTTTTATACCAGTTTTAAACCATTATATTAATTGACAATAACAATGTTGAGAAGGCATGTTGGGAGTTGCCTTCACCATCTCTCTTACCACATAGAAATGGTGAAAGTCTCCCCTACTGCGTTTTGTTGCACAGAACGGTTTTATACCTCAACCCGTACAACTACTCCGCGGAAACGATACAGAGTTCTATGATTAGCGATATTTATCGTTTACTTTAAATGTTCACACAGTACTCTGTCATTGTTCGATTTTCCACTGCCTAACCAAATAAATTTGACAACTTTTATTAGAAGAACAGACTAATAAAAAAGGGAGAGAGAGATAAACATAATTTTTTTTATATATTTTTGCATTCACTATACTGGAAAATATTCTCAATGAATAATTGATTAGAACAAAATTTTAATTTTTTACATTATAAAAACTTTCATTTTTATCCAAAGTTTAATATATGTATTTGTATTAATATTCCTTTCGGCTGTTTGTGTGGATTGTCTGAACATTGATGAGAATACGCTCTGTAGTAGCGAAAAAGTAACAAGGGCTTAAATAATTCGTCATTCCTGTTAGGACCTGGGTAGCTCAGTGGTTAGAGCAGCCGGATTGTGTAAGGCCGTGGGTTCGAATCCCATCTCAAAGTACCATGGACAAAGTGGATTTTTTAATCATTTCTCACTAAGAATAAAAAAAAAGGTATTCTTGTTACGATAATAGGTATACCATACATGCGTGACTTGCACTAGTATAAACAATTACCATCAGCAGCCTGTTAATGTCATCTCTGCTCGGGCTCGGGCCTTCCCTATATATAAAATCGCATCAAATCGAAAAGTGACAATGCTCAAGCTCGAAGTAGTAAATTTTTGGTCACCCATCTTATGGCCGGCCATTGCGAAACATGCTTAACAACCGTATCGCATACCGAACGCGCTATCCACTGCGCTATCGAATTCACTCACTTTTATTATAAAGTTTTTTAGCGTCCTCTGTTATAGAGTCCACCTGCATGATATAGAGAACGATACTCTATATTATTGGAGTTTGAATGGCAACCCTACACCTGCGCTAGCAACAAATTATACAAGGGTATGAAAATAGGAGAACTATAAATAATATTCATTAGAAAACATTACTTTAGGCGGTGTCGGCGCGGAGTGTTGTGGCTGCGGTCTGTACTGTTGCTGCGGTTGTGGCTGCGGTCGGTACTGTTGCTGCTGCGGCTGTGGCCGGTATTGCGGCTGCGGTGGCGGCTGCGGGCGCGGCGGCGGCGGTGGCGGCGGCGCGCGGTACGGGGCGGGGGTGGGGCGGGGCGCGGGGCGCGGCGGGGGTGGCGGCGCGGGAGCGGGGTCCTCGTAGTCGTAGTCTATGGACTGGGGTTCCGGAGCACGGTATTGCGAACGGCCGCCCTGTGACTGAAACATCATAACATTCTATCGAATATTGTAATAAAATAAATACGTTGGAAATTTTTATGTCATCTCCTCAACATTAGAGTGCAAATTCAACATTAGTTGGAGCTTCGGGACTTTAAAGTTTTTGGCTTTTGGAAATAAACGATTCCCTTCTTTCTATAATTTCAAATACAAACTCAATTTAATCATTGAACTTTGAATATTTGAAGTTTTTTAGAACTTTTGTTTTTGACAATACCACATACATTTCTTAGGATGAAAATGAAGTATCTAGCTGTCATCGGTTGCATTATGACAACTTGAAACAACGAAACTACCACAACACATAAAATGCACTTCCTATGCTTGAACAAAATAGGCTTAGGTACCTGAGATTTCTGCGGCCTAAGTCCCTCTTGTCGGGTGGACTCATCAACAAGTGTAGGTGGCGCCACCGTTATACCCTCACCGGCTGGCTGGAAGCCATACTTGTTGGCCCCATACTCTATCACACGCACCTGTAATCGAAATACATATCTATAGGAAAAATGACATAAAATTACATTGCCTGGGTTACTATCACATCTTTCTTAACCCTATATGATAAAGTTGAACTTTGGTTATGATTTATAACGAGATCTCGATCAATTTAACAGATAAAGTTACTCCTTACCAAAACTACGACCCTTTGACTCGTAGCCAGAGTCATAGCGTTAGTTACAAGAAAATGTTATCGATTTAAAAAAAGGAATATTTTTATATTCTTCTATTAAAATTTTCTAAATAACTGTCTTCAAATTCTAATTAATCAAATAATGAAACTAAAACAAATTTAATAAATATGGAACGTTGCAGCCATATTTCTATTTGAATTTTAATATTGTGAAATATAAAACTGAGTTCTTAATATACACTAAGACGAAATAAATATTAAATTAGTTTAAGGTACGACATTCTTACCTTACCGGTGTCGTCTTTGTACCCGTATTTGCCCTTCACTTCCCCTGTAGGGGATTTAGTTTCGATCTTGAAGGAGCCGTCGGCCGCCTCGTATCCGTACGTGTAGGAGCCATCTTCATTGTGCCTTCAAACGATACGTTCACATATATAAATATAGATATAAATACGTACACTCACGGCTGCATTTCAGGCTACCACAATTAGCAAAATTTCAGCAATGAATTTCAACATTTACCATTTACCAAACACGTAGTTTAATAAAAAAAATCTTATCAGCCAAAAGACTCTGAATATTATATATGTAAATAATGTTGGACAATTCAAAAATGCTTTCAATAAGCTTATTTGCTCAAAGAATATGTTAATTTTGATTTAAAATTCTGCGGCACGGTTACCAGACTAGGTGATGCAAGAGACGCAGGTTAGAATCTTGTTTGGTGTTATTTGTAGCTCTCTGTATTTATATTTATAAAATATATATGCTTAAAATCAATATTAAAATTAATAAAGGCACACAAATACGAGTATACATCATGAACCGACAACAAGCTTTAAGAATAATTCGTCTGATTATTACGTAAACAAATCTATGAATTAATTCCAAATCGCTTTTAAATTCCAATAAAACAATATACAAATCTTTTTTATAAAACATAGTGATGTCGGTGTTTTTATAGATACAAATAAATATTTTACCAAAAATTCTCGATGTATTAGTATTATATTCGGTAGGTTTATGAAAATATCAGAAGGGTAAATTATTTTCATTGATTTCGTTGTTCGATCGTGCCAATTTATACAAAGTCCTATTAAATTCTGACGTAAGAGTAACCACGCCTTTCCTTACCTACAGAGAGAGAGAAGCAAACTAGGGCAGTTTTAACAAATTATATCTGCTCAGTGTAATATCTAAATGCCAATAATTTAAACGAGTTTACATTTATAACATTGCTAAATATCAAACGTAAATTTTTAAGTTTTAATCTAAAAAAATAATAACTATTTCTGTCTCTTACACTTAAGAAATCTGTAAAGTGCAGTAAGATTTAAGATACTCGTAAATATGGCTAAAACTTCTATTGCGAATTATGAAAAAATGTCACGCACGCAGGCGTCTTGTTAATTGATTTGCGAGTTTACCATTATTTATGTATTTTCGCAGACGATTTCTGGTAATGAACTATATAACATGTATATTTTATATAAAATGTATTAAGTGTAATACACTTCTTAAAATTCTAGATGTATTCAGTTATGGCAACATTTAGTTGTTATAGTTTTAAAAAACAGTCTCTTACTCGTCGTCGCAGCGCTGTACCGACATAGAGCTTCAACGAAATAAAACCTTTATTATCATTTAAAGCGGGTTTTATTTGAATGACCCTCTGTGCTATATTAGCGCTGAGTTCGAGATTGTTCTTATCATAGAATAGCACTATTATTTTCATGGGGACTGTTAGACTAAAAACTAAAACGATAAAAAAAGACACTTTATTTGAATTCGAGTGAGAACAGCTAGCCGTGATTTTAAGAGTGCACATAAACCAAAAATTGTTGTTAAATTTGAATTGATTTTGTACAAAAAACGTCCAAAGAATCTGAATAGAAAATAAATTGTCCCGTACAAATATAGATGGAGTAGCAGAAATCAGTCTCCGTGCTCTTTTAAACTCGTGCCAACTTTCGTAAGTGTATGTATTATATATGTAGGATTCACATAAGATCGATTAGACATCGGATTGAAAACATTATTTTTTGATTGATTAATTCCGTTCAGCTCAGGGAATAGTATTAAGTTTCTACGGCTTAGTAGTTTTAAAGATATAAATTTTAAAGTTAACTGACTTTAAGACATAAAAAAATTAAAGGAATAATTGAAGAAATTAACGGATCGGTTCAAGTCAACATAGTGAGGAATTTCGCATATGAATTTTCGGTTATATGTTTAAAAAAATGACACGTGTCATATGACCAAATTTGATAGTTTACTGTTTACACAAATGCGCATAACTCACCTATTAATTTGTTTCAGTATAGGCACAGGTGTAGAGGTGACCTTTGGTTCGGACGCGATATACCGGGGCGCACGCTCCTCCTGGTACTGCGCGTGCGCACACACGCACCCCAACCACAACACCATCTGGAATCATTATAAATAGCTAATTTAAAAAACTATATTAGTAGGTCATCCTAACCTATCGTATCGTAACAGAGATTGAGCATCAGGAACAATCTTAACATTACATCTTTCGTTTCTTTTATACTAGTAATTCTTATCATATACGCACGCCACTTTTTTACACGACTGCCAAAAAAGAATATATTGTATTTTCTGGCATCATCATTCGATAACTAGCGATAAATTTTGTCATAATAGATTTATCTTTCACTCCCCGGCTTCTTCGTTATATATATACTATAAACCAGCCAAATTTTAATACTAAACACGCTATCAGATAAAATTTTAAACAGTCGTTAATTGATGTTAATAGATTGATCGTATAATCTGTTCTAACAAAGACCTAAATTCTGTTGTCATTTTTAGCTATTGTTTTACATTATTTTATATAAGTTAAAACGTAATTATATAAGAAAAATTAGCAATCAATCATTTAATGTCAATAATTATCTTTACAGAATAAAATATGCAATTTTAGAGAAAATGTTACATTTCATAGCAGACACAAACATATATATTAGCACATTATTGTATAACATAAAAATATTAACACATTATTATATAATATTATGTTTTCTATTGTAATTTTTTATCCTAATAAAGAAACGTTTTGCTTATTTATGATTAAATTATTTAAAAGAAGCAAATGTAACTTTGTAATAATAAATATCGTTACTTAACTATGGAATACTAATTGCAATTATGCAACTATTATAGGACCCATAAAGAGTTATAATTATGACATAGTTTCCCTTACAGCCTACATTTGAAATTCTATCTCATTATGTTATATGCATTACGAGTTATCATTGAGCGTGACGGCTTGGGTAATGTGGGTTAGATGCCTTGGATTTATGTGGCCATGTTTTGTAGTACAAGATGCCAGTAGAACAATGTAATGACAAAATAAATGAAAAATTAAATTATGATGTCACTTATGACTTACTACTCACTGACTATGAGAGTATAATCTGAGAAGAAACGATAGCACTTTTATTTTTAAGCACTTTTATAATTACCTTTTTTTAAAAGTTGGCTTATATAAAGAACACGTTGGTAGATTATTTCGGTATAAATACATATTTAGCTCAGTTTTCAACAATATACAATACATAATCGTATCCAAAAACTTATCTTATGATTCTGTTTGGATTAAAAAAGGGAATCTTTGTCACTCAATAGTTATAGATAGAGAATGCAAACTTCTTTATTCAAATAAGCTTATTACGATTTCTTTCCCTACCACTCGTTCAGTAAGTCTTTTAGCTAACAAGAAGAACAAGTGAAAGTAATAAATAGATAACACTATATTAATCAATAAAACAATTTCTAATAGTTAAGTGTTGATAAAAATTGTACAAATAATACTAAAACTTTGGCAAATTGAAATGGCAAAATATTACAGTTCATTCCATATGTGTTGATGTGTTGAGACTTTTCTAAGACACCAGTATCTTTCCCGTCTTCTAAGTTGGCTCTATAATAATAATTGATTGAACTGATAAGTAATTGACTAACTGACATTTTGAAGTTTTTCTGGTAATTCAAATTTAGTCCTAACTATTTAAAATCACAAAATCAGATAAAGGGCTCTAATTTATTTATGGAAAAGATGACATTTTTATCTTAATTTAGAATATAGGTAATTGCTCGACTTAGCCGGAGCACTTCCGTGCCCCCAGATATTTAAATTATGCGTTCTAAAGTTATGAAAACTTATACGGTCCAACTATTTTTTAAAAAAGAATTTTGTAAAATAGGCGATTAGAAAAAGTCGAATTTATGTTATATTACGTTATGTCCCAATTAGAACATAATAGAAATATGGGTGGCAATTGCTTAAACCGCGAAATAACCGTAGCTAACCTCGACAATATAATTGGTTACATACCACAATAATATGCACTTTAAGTGAAAAAAATTCGTGTGGTGTATTTCAAAGGGGTATGCGTATGAACAAATTTATCGAAACATGTGTTTGATATATTTATTAAAAACAAAATTGCCAGATTCTTACTCCTCCCCCCACAAATAATTTAAAAGTTTTGTAAAATATTAAATATTAAACAACATCACGGTAGAAAAGTTCATTTTCTACATTGACCCAACCGGAAACCAAAACCGGGACCTCAGCGATGGCGACACCTAAAAACCGGCGTGCGAACCACTCGGCTACGGAGGTTATGAACAAAAAATCGACCCATCCCCACGGTCCCTGTTTAATAATGTTAAGATAGAATAAAAATCAAAAATTTTTTAAACAATTGCTTTATTTCAAATTTTTCTTTTCCTTTTTAAGTAATGTTTCAATTTCAACTTTTCTGGTTGTTTGAATACACAATACTCATATTCCGTGCTAAATAAGTTTTTTTGATTCTCACAGCTTAACGAAGTATATCTTGTAAGTATACTATTAAATCGCTTTAAGTCAATGGATTGGACCACACAGAAACGTGATGGAAATTTTGCGGATTGGTAACTTTACGTGTCAAATAACTTTACTTTTTGTTTCTAGTGTACTTTATTAGTTCGACCTTGATATAATAGAATGCGAGTGAAAACTGACATATTACAGTTTATGGAATTTAATAGTGATAGCTTACGTTCAGTCTTTTCTCGGTATAGTTTTTCAAAAAGCAATGAATTCTTCTTTTTTCAGATATTTTTGTATTTCAAACTTGATTGCAAAATCAGAAATATTTCCAAAATCATAAAATATAAACTGGTTAATGGTGTAAACTGTAACATTTTGATTTGTCTTATCCCACACGATTGCCTACAACAAACAGCTGTACAATGGTCCATTTTTATAGTGTGACTAACATTAATATCTACATATATTTATACATCAATCTCATTTTTTGTAGTATTATAGAGCTAAGTTTAAGTCTTTGACAAATATAAGAGTTGTATTAATTAAAGGTATGTAAGAAAAATACCCACTAAGAAAAAGTTGGTGAATTGTTTTAAATATACGGATAAAATATTACTGTCGTACGATTTTAATATTTTATTATGTCGCTGCCAAAACAGGATTCTGCGGAAGTTTTATAATAACAGAATCACCAACAATCAATATAGTTTAAACGCAATGTACTTAAATCGATAGTTTAAGTATAATTAAATTAACATTTAAAGTGATTAAGTTTTCCATAGACGAGAGATTATAATGGCGGAATCTATATAAACGCACAAAGGGAACAACAAATCGGAAAGTGAGATATTTAGAGGCCAGTCGACCATTCACTGTTATCATGTTACCGGTGGAGCCTTCAAGACTTGCTCCCTGATAATGCGTGCCACTTTACTGACATATACTACCTGTATATCAAGCGATTTACTTTTGCCAATAACTTATGATTTGCAATTATAAATTGTATTGTACACCGACACTAGTTGTTTTTGAACCGAACAATATCAGTGGGTCGTATTTAAGAAAAAATTGGATGATATTATTATGTATTAAAGACTTATTGGAGTCAATGCGATGCTTTACGGTGCTCTCCAGAGTCAATAAATATCAATCTTTTTGATATATTTACAAAGCATCAGTTCATCAGTTGCATAATATCTTTAATACGTTCAAAAGAAAACGTATTTTAGTATGAATACTACAATATGTTAAGAATATACACGTATCGCACTTCTGAAATTTCATTGTTAACTTTATGAAATAAAAAAACAACTACATATTTTTTTAAATAATATTTTTTCTAAGTAGATAAAGTAGTTATCTCATGATCTCACTATTATATTTTGATTTCATCACCAACTTATTTAATCACTTGACTAAAAAGTATACCAAACAACCAATTAAATCCTTTGATGAGGTCACTTATACGACTTATCACATAATATACACACTGACACTGATCACTTAAAAAATATCAAAATTAATATAACACTTTCACAGAAAAATAAATGCGAAAAAACCTCAATTAATCATAATCCCACAAAGAGATTCGATATAAATTAAATAAATATAAAATATAAACAAAAAAGTATTTAGTTACGGAAAATCCTTTATGTTTTCTTTTAATTATCTCTTTTAAATTACGTAAAACTATTTTCTCAAAAAATCAAATTTAGAACACAGATTTGAACGTACCAATCGCACAAGCACAGCCATGTCGAGAAATCGGAGGCGCGGCGCGCGCGCATGTCTCTTTTATACTGTTTACAGGGCAAAACCTTTCACTGAATATTGTTTTTTCGGGTTAGGGGGATGAAATGCAAGGGTTTAAATATACTAGATGTTAAATTAAAGGCATTTTGTTGCAAATCGGTAATTTAAATATGAATTCATTTAATTACTCTACTTAAATAAGTAATTACTACGCTGTTGTTAGGGTTCCGTTTTGATTAAAAAAAAGAAGAAATAAAATTGTTTATAATTATACCAACAGTCTTATTTATTGTTTGGTAACAATGTTATATAAATTTCAAACCAAACTAATTACTTAAAATATATTCATAGTGGGAGTTGATGACGTGGACTGAATAAAACATTATTTTTATTGATAAAATCTAGTTACCCGTCCAAATTAGCATTTCGATCTTTTTTAGTTTTATTTATTTAAAAGAATATTTAAATATTAAATCATAACAAGTGAGTATGTATAACTTGATCCTTCTACCTATATTTTCACTCATGACTAAAAATATTAAAAAATGAGAAGGAACCTGTAACCGATCCGAGACGTTTTAAAAATGTAATAGTCTTTAATGAAACACGAGACAAAACCAATTTAAATACTTTGTATTTAAATTATTAGTTTATATATAAGTAAAACAAAAAATTTCAAAACATTGTTGATAATAATACACTTAAATAACACACAGCTTACAGAAAATTTTATAAATAAAGAAGATATATAATTTGATATGATTCCGATATAATATGACCATCTAAAGTAGATCTGGCATCCGCCAGGCTTGGGTAACCAATATTAACAACTGAA